TCATGGACGTTAGATCCATCCCACGAGCTTGAGAGCGCCATGGGAGCAACGCGGCGAGGAGCAAGACGATGCGACTGCGGAACGACGCAACAATGGGTGGCAGCAGCGGCGGAAAGAAGAAGGAAGGCGAGGAGGGGCGGAGCGAGGGAGAGTGTGCGAGCCTCTGCCGCTCCCTCTCCTCCCCCTACTTATGGACCGGCGTGGCGGAGCCGAGGAGGCGTGGCGTGGGGGAACGTGGGGATCAACTGCGCCCACTCCCCCACGTCCCGCGATTATTGCGCCCTGAAGACGTAATAAAATCGTCGCGGGAAGGCGAGCGGTCCGCGTGGGCCGCAGAAGATCCGCGCTCGGGCCGAGGCCTAGGAATGGCGGGCCCGAGCCTGCGGCGGCACCCCGTCGCGCGCGTGCACCGGCAGGATTTCCTTGCCACGTGGCCCGCGGGATGGCCTGCGGTCAGCTCGCAGGTCGACCGCGCTCCAGCCTACGAGAAACGGGGCTTTCCGAAGACGGCGCACACAAGCACAACCGGCCCCTCAGGGTAGGAAGCTGACCGAGCTTCTCGTCCCTTTGTCAGTCTCGAAGCTCGCCAGCTTCGGGGACTACTGTCGGAGGAAATAACCACGGGTAGCCAAGCCGGCTCCCCCTGGCCCTTCTGAAAAAATTATTACGAGCCCATCCGGCCCTCAAGAATCCAAGACATGGGGCCGCCTTCCCCTCGCCGGCTGTTTCCCAGGCCGACTATCGGAAGGCGGCCCGACTTCAGCCTTCATGAAAAAAGTCGCGGGAGGGCCGGCTCCGAGGAGCCGGCTCCGAGAAGGCCGACTCCAAGAAGCCGGCTCCCATAAAGCGATCAAGATCGTACCCTCGAAGTCTGCACCCACATAACAGCGATGTGACGGGGCATGACTACAGTAAAGCTTGCCACCCCCGAATCCCGGAGCTCGCCTGGCACAGTGCGCCGTACGGAAGGCCATGGCCCGTCCGGCGCGGCACTGTTGCCACGATGACCCTGATGTCATCCACGATGGGCCGCCAGAGTGGCCCACGGGCGGCGGGCCCCTTCAGGCAGAGAGACACCCGAAGGCGGCCCGGCCTCCCCCAGTCGGCCCAAGACAGAGCCGTCTCTCCACAGCCGGTTTGCCACCCTCTCGAAGGGGGCACCTCATTAAGGAGACAAGACGCGGTGAGGCTACAGCGATCACCCACCGGACGGCGGCACTGTAGCCACGCCCACCTCGGCGAAGACTTCGTCACCAGGATTGAGCAACAGTAACCAGCCGCCGCAGGCCCTGGACAGTGGGGCCTGCCTGTCGACCAAGGAGCCGGCAGCCGGCGGGACCCACCAGCCGGCGGGCCCCAGCAGCCGGGGCAGAAGCCGACGAGTGTAGACACAGACGGCTGGGCCCCACACCCAGCCGGATTACCATTGTGTCCCCGGGGGGTAGGCCTATATAAACCCCCCGGGACACCCATGCAAAGGGTTGATCCCAGCTAGTTTTAAACACCACATAGGGAGGAGAAGAGAGCGGGCAGAGCCCTTCTTCCTCCTCTCGCCAAACAGCTCAAGGAGCATCGTGTAGCTACTTGTTCATCTAGTGATCATGTGGAGACCCCGCAGAGCAGCAGTAGGGGTGTTATCTCCACGGAGAGCCCCGAAGCTGGGTAAGATTCGTCGGCGTACATGTCTTCGCCTCATCCCGCTTCCAAGCACCGGCGACGTCTTACTGGCTCCCACAATGATAAGCCACCCGTTGGCATATGTCGCACCTACCACCCGACACCTATTTTATATCAGGAGCAAATCTCTAGTATCTTTTTCTTTTGCATCTACATCATCTGTTGAAACAACGTTTTTGTGTCTTTGGTGATGTAAAAACCTGTTATTTTTACATCTACATTATCTATTGAAGATGCTTTAAACACGTCTAGATCCACTCATTTTCAGCGATACTTAATTCCGGATGGAGGGAGTACTTTGCTGAAAAATAAAAAGGAATATACATATGCAGATTCTTGAATGTTTGCATTATGAAAGTTATACTAGTATTGTGCATCAGAGCATGATGAGGAATATATAAAGCAAGAAGGCCCAGCTACTAGTATGATCTTGCCAAAAAAAGGGGGGGCAAAGCAAGTAAAATGTGGTCCTGAAAAGGGTCACCATATTAAAACTCTGCTTTAGCCCTTGTTGGGGGGCATGGTTAAGGGCTCTCATTAACAACGTTTAGTAGTAGTAGTACTAGTACTAGTATGATCTTGCCAACCCTGAAAACCCGCAACCAAAGCCAGCCAATGTTGAACGATTCCATGCCAAAAGGCTATTATTAAAAGATAAATACTTAATTGTCCTAGCAATGGTACTTTATTGACTGTACTGAGATGTTCCTGCAACTTGCTTACTTTTTCCCTTGTACTAGTACAATGTACGAGTAACACACATGGGTTGCAGGGCTCAAAATTTCTTCACCTCACCTGGTCTGAACTCTGTGGCAGCATATGATAAATGAGAAAGATTAATGGTGTGTTTGGTCGGGAAGTGTAATGAAATGTTATGGTTCCGTTCTACTAAAATGGGTCGGTTCTATCTCTGTGTTTAGTAAAAGCAATTTAAAGGAATGGAATGGTTATATTTTGATGTTTGGTTTAAGGGATGGAATGAGATGAATTTGTTCAGTGAAACAAAATTGCTGAATAAAATGGCCATCTATCAATCCATCCATACAACAAAGGCTTGAGCACGCTCCATCTCAAACAAAAAAAAAAGGCTTGAGCACGCTTTGCCAGAAACAAATCGCAGAGAACTGAAGGAGCGTGAGTTCATCCATCCACGCATGCAGTAGATTGCAGAACAGAACCAGGAAAGAAACGAATCAGACTCAAATCGCAGAGTTCAACAACAGCCACCCTGCACAAGATCCAAGCATGTTCAGGCGCGGTCAACGGCCAGCGCTGGGAGCAGCTACTCCGTCAAGCGCGGCGGCATAGAGCTTCCCGGCATGGGGCCTGGCGCGACGCAGTTCGCCGTCACCCGCGCGGACCCGAGCTAATTCACGGCGACCTATATGGCCTTCACGGCCGCCTTGGAAGCTCATTGACGGGGGCATGCAGGGCGTCGAAATCGGGCCCTGCAGCGGGGCGGTCTGTACGAGGGGGCGCGTGCTCCCGGCGGCGGCGGCGGCGGCTACCCGAGAGGTCGCGCGAGGAAGGGAAAGAGGGAACACGAGATGCAGTCGCGGAAGGAAGAGAAGCGGTTCTGCGTGGTCCGCTCGATTTGAAGAGACCGCGGGGAACGGCATAAACAGCGAATATGCCATTTTAGGAACGAGTGGGTTCTGGCTCCTCAGATCAACCAAACACAAGAGTGGGCTATAGGAACGGAATGGACCCGTGCCGTTCCACTTGGTGACAGGAACCAAACACACCCTAGGATCACTTGCTCGCCGTGCATGCAATAGGACTATCTGCCCTGTTTCTTTCAAAAAAGGAAAGGATTATCTGTCCTGCGTTCCCTGTGTGTTTTAATAGGGCATCAGATCAGATGGTGCTGTGGTGGTAACTCAACATCTGTCTGTGTTTTAGTAATATATCAAGTAAGCACTCATAATTCAGCATACTTGATTCATGAAGTTTCTGTTTTGCAGGTATCTGAAATGCAAGAGCATATATCAAGCACAGGATCGATCATCCTGGTCAGAGTTTGTTGGAAAGCAGAACCGCTTTTCAGGAACCGTTTGCAGAGCATGCACAGCTCGTGCTGGAGAACACGAAAGAACGGATCGGAGCAGGAGCTCGATGTTGATCTGAAATGCCTATAAAAGGCCCAGCCGCGAGTCTGCAATGCTCAGGCCAAAGCATATGATTTTACTGTATTTAGCTAGCTCTGAAAGTAAGAGTTGTAGGAAACTGAACTCTCCTTCCATGTTTCTTCACGAGTTCAGTTTTCTCCAACATCTTATCTTCAGAGCTGTCTGGCCAGGGCCATCACACCTTGGAGAATTTTGGCAGATGAATTTGAGTGTTGGATGGGACCAAATCTTGCTGCCGGGTGTGACAAGATTTGGTTTCCTCCAATATCTTATGTTCATATGTCAGACAATACACTGAATGTTAGCTACAAGAAGCGATAGTTGGATCTGAAAACCTCTGAACTTCTTGTCTGAAGAACCTAACCTTGGAAGCTGAATGTGAGATTTGGATGGAACCAAATCTTCAGCTATAATACAATGGCACAAGGTTTGGTTTCCTCCAATATCTCGTCTTCAACTGTCCATGATGAAATCCTCAACATCTTCAGTTGAGCTATAGGTGAACCGGAATTGAATTCCTTTGGTCTTTGGTCATCAGCATCATGACATTTGTCATTTTCATTTTTATCAAACTGCGACAAATTTTTACAACATACATTTGATTAATTTGATAAGCTATACGTGACTTATTTGGTTATTTTTATGATATATTTCAATGCATTTCATCCAAGGATGATCTCATAATGCAAACCATTTACTACAAGCTGATTTTTGGTAAGTAAAGAAAACCTTTGCCTGCTTCCAGATTTGTGTATACATCCACTGAAGCAAACAAATGTACACCAGTGCATATTACAAAGACAAAAGACTAGAAGTTGTTCATACATAACGCATTACAGTTCAGCAAAATCAGCACCGGCAAGCTAGTGCGAGTGCCACTCGACCTATTCCTTGAGCTGCAGGCAGCACACTGGACCTGTTGCAGCACATACACCTTATATAAGCCAGGACAGGTAATTTGCCTCCTTTACTTCACCCCTCGATGATGAAAACTGAATCCTTGATCTCGCAACCGACAGAACACAAGAGCAGCGCTAAAGCTTCACGGTCCATCATCTAGGTTGTATGTACATGTCAGCCTGTAAGATGTTTAGGAACAAGTACCAAGTGGCAAGCAGTCGTCCATGAGCATTCATGTCAGCGATTCAACTTGATCCTGAGAAAGAGCGGCTCATATGCAAGTCAGCCAGGAGGTTAGGTAGAAGAACTCTGCTGATGAGCTATTGCCTGTGGCCTCCCTGCTTGTGGATTTGACGAGGCAATTTCCTCTAGGCGCTTCCATGTGGCATCACGTTTTGATCGCATCGCACCTTCTTGAGCTTCATCGTCCTGAAACTTCTTCAGGCACCCCTCAAAGAGTACAGGGTCATGGTCCAAGAATATTTTGCGAACATTAAGACTCAAGCTTTGCACTGCCTGATTCCAATGACCTTTTGTATTTCGTTCTAACGAAGGAAGGATTATGGGCAGTAACACCTTGCTGTTTTGTTTGATTAAACCCTCAATATGATCGTTGTTCCACAGAAACAGAGCTCTCTCTGCCACCTGCAAAACATAAGAGGAATATCACTGCATTTCGTATCATTAGGTAAAATACTAAGCACAGACTTTTATTCTTGAATGCCACCTGAAAATGCATACAATGACCCACACACACACACACTAAACAACCAAATAATAATAAAGAAGTCTACCTTTCAGGCGTCAACAGAAGGTGAACAGTAGGTATGGTAATTCAAGGATGTATTGCGTTGGGAACAGAGGAAAATCAGCTTGTTTATGAATGCAGAATTAACAAAGTTTGTACATAATAGTTAAATCCCAGGTGCTCAGAATGCTAACTTAGTGATCAAAGGATAGAATAAACACAGATATGTACTTAACGGCAATTCTCAAAGCAGGAAAATTGGATCAGGGCAGTTTCTTCTGCTGTCGCACCCATAACAAAATTGGATCAGGGCGCTTCACCATATATATATAAGGGACCATACAGTTTTGACTGCTCTACGCCGGTGAAGTAGCAAACAGAGATAACTGATAAGTAAAACTGATCATATCTCTAGGAAATACACTAGAAAGCTGTGGAACTAAGCACATCTAGGTTCTGTTACGCATAGGTGCATCCGATCTGAAAATGATTTAATGCTTGTAGTGTTACTAAAATGATAAACACACATAAATGATAATTCAATATGGCAGAGTTAGTTGTTAATATAAAGCAGAACTTATCTAGATTCAATATTTGTCGGTCACAGTTGCATAGCAGGGTATATAACCAAGTTCGCTAAGCTTCCCAATAACATAGGTATGACACATTTTTGGTACCGATGTTCATAAGGCAGGCATGGCATGGATTGCTTCAGCAAACCTGAACTCTTGCAATATTTTTCTCACCAACAGAACCATTATTCAACCTCGACCTCCCCAGGTAAAGATAGCTCTTGATAATTTCAAGGCTTAGATAAATTTGAAGTAGCAAAACAACAGTTATTATTCATGGCCAAGTTAAAATCAGCAGCTTAAATCGATCCTATTTGCAAGGAATTAATGATGAAGTAATTAAAATTACCAGGAAACGGCTAACATGACTATTCATATTTCAACATGAACAGGACTAGTACGCACTATATACCTATTGTTTGCGAGATGTTAGTTCACTTGCATTAATAAGTTCTAGAAAATCATGCTACGAGCAAAGACTATCGCAAAACTAATAACAGTTTTAAGGACGAGAACTTCCATGAGCTATTAACATGTATCATATGTGTATGGTTTGGTTGGCACTCTGCAATTCCATTTTACCTGAAAGTGAGAGCTATTTAAACAGCGGGCAATCTGTCGGAAAAGTGGCACCATACATCTCTGGAATTCTGCTGACTGAGTAGCTTCCAATACTTCCTCTAACTCACCCAAAAACATCACCTCCTTTGAGCTATTTGTGATTGGCCAATACTTAAGTAGACCCCTTATAACGGTATCAGCAAGCTTGCAATCTTTCTCAACGAACTGAGTGACACAGTATGACAGTTGCTGATGATACATGCTAACACATTTTGGTTTGTGGAGTGGAATCAGCGCGCGGACTAGAAACGATTTATGCTCTTCCTTGAGAGGCAAAGCAAAACCATTGATTATACTGCCCAGAATCTCTAACAGCTCTGCAATCCCATAATGCTTTTCTGTCTCAAATATAAACCTGTAGAATATATTGTTAATTGCCTTCCTGATGAATGGACGGTGCACCATGAACTTCCCATATATCCTGTGAAGTATTGTCTTCAAATACTCCCTTTCCCTAGGATCCTCTGAGTCGAAGAGATCTAGCAGCCTGAGAATGAAACCCTGATCAACATATCTCTTGGCCATCTTAGCATCTGTCTCTGGAGACTGAACAAATCTTAAGAACAGTTCGAAGACAATCTGCAGGTGAGGCCATGCCGGGTCCATGACAGGCTCTTCCTCCTCCAAATCAAATGACTCGATTACCTTGTTCTCCTTTGGGGCGGGGTTGGGGCCCCGGAACAAGTTTGTGGATACCATGTTGACGACCTCTTGCACGACAGACTCTGGGAATTTCCCGGTGGCAGAGGTGACATAATCCACCAGCTCAAGCAATGTTTGCCTCTTGACCTCCTTCTCTTTCACGTCCTTGGTGGGGTCCGAGAAGTCGAAGACCACGCAACACATGGAGAGCTTCCTGAGGAACAGGGCAGGTTTCTCGGAAGGCGGCACCTCCCGGAAGCTCGGGAGCGGCTCATACACAGGCGGGGCCATGAAACCATTGCTGGCACCCGCACCAACACCAGCGTTCCTGTTGCTGTAACTCTGCCCAGGATTCGTGACATAATTGTTCGGATTGCCAATCCTACTAGACATGGTCAAATCTGTGGTGGTTCTTGCATCCGCCGTGGGGCTTGACAGGGACGACGAGCCGGCTCCGGCGAAATCCTTCTCCCCGGACTTGGCCGGCTTCTTGGGTAACCTGCCCAGGATTTGCTTAATCATAACGGATTGGCCGAACAAGCCCCCGATCAAACCGCGCTAAAGAAGTCCCGCAAATCCATCATTCATCAACCTGATCAAATCAAACACCGTAAGGAACATCGAAAGAAGGAAATCCACGCATCGCGCGAGAATGATAAAGAGTACAACCGAACCCTACCAGATCAAATCCGGAGCCGAAATCCACGAAGAAGACCGCGCCTTTCCGATCGGCGGCACCCGTAAAAAGAAGAACCGCGCGGGGTCAAAAGGGAAAGGGGGTAAAGCGAAAGGCGAGAAAATCGCTGTTTCCCCCCAAAACTTGCAGGCGAATTGGACCGGCGGAAAGGAGAGGGCGCAAATTGGATGGATTCCTGCAGAAATCTGTGGGGAATACGTGGTGGAGGCCTCGCCGGTCGGGTTCGTTCGGGTCGCTTCTAGGGGGAACAGTGGGAGGAGGAGGAGGAGGGAGGGCAGTGGGTGGGCGGAGCCAAAGCCAGATTGGAACAGAACATTATTAGAGGAGAAAAACCGTTTCCTTCATTTTGGACCAAATCCAACACGGGTAAAGCTTCGTTCGGTGGCTGGTAAATATTCTGGTGCACATTTCGTGTTGCACCCAGCTCAACACAGTTTTCCATCTGCCCTTAAAATGAAAAAAAACATAATTTTTCAATTTTTTTCTCAGAAAGATTCACGTCTATTATAAAAATTCACTGGATCTGGCAGTTGTGCACGCACGGCGAGAACCCCTAACCTCATCGCCGAAGAAGACGACATGAATCTACGTCAGAACTCCGTCAATTCCGTCCTCACACATGAATTCGAGAAGGATCGAAACCCGACCTACTTGAAGATGAAGAGCTACCATCCGTCCAAGCATCGCCCCTATGAGGAATAAGCCGAGGCACCATGATTCTCTTCCCCGCCACCAATCACTGGAGCGACATGCGCGCGCGGGGTGGGGGTGGGGGGTATACTGATCGGTGGAGCTTGGGAGGAAGGAGAACTTTACCCTAGCCACCTACGCATAAGGGAATGTCAACACAAATTTTCATGTACAATGAGTATACATCAATTTGTCATTGGTCTAACCCGGACCTAGTAGATTGCTCAAAGTATTCTGCGCGAGTTTATTTAGTTTTTTAGTTTCCTTGTAGTTTTATATAAATAGTAGGTCCACTAAAAAAATCTTTTGAGAATAATTGGATGGCTAGTAGGTGGTTGTAGTGTCATCTTTCTAAAGATCAACCACGAGGTTTTGTGGTGATTTTGTCAATCTTGCAACTTCATGACTATAGTCTCCACTCTTTCAATAGAATGTGCATGTATATGCAGCGTTGTAATAAGATTTCTAAAATTGTTGATCTACATCTTATGTAATTCATTTATTCTCATCAAGTTGCCCATATAAATTCTATCAAAAGGAGGCATGTAAGATTTTCATGATTTTGTAATGTCTGGCTAGCAAATTGTTTCTTACTTAAATAAGCACCAAATTATGATAAAGATGGACCTGTAGCTTTGTTCAAGATGAGAGTAATAATGGACTTTGTGAGCTTGAGGAATCACTTTATCAACTTTTGCTCATAGACATGTTACATTGGGAATTGACGAACATTTTGTAGGGATTTTCTTGAGAGTAGTCAATATGTACCCATAGGAAAAACACATCCCGTTGCACCCTCCAACTTTCCTTCTTGCCCTCGGCGCCGCTAGACTAGTTATCGTGCTAAGCCCATGCACTAGTCGATGAAGGTGGTGGTCGGGAGGTCTTCACTCCGATAGCCTTCCACGACGAGATGCGGTCTGCATGCAGTGGTTTGAGGCAAAGGATATGGTCGACGTCGGTGGTTGTGATCCCGTCTGCAGGTATGTGGGTGTCGGCCGGCAACGATGACCTTCTGTGTCTTAACATAATGATCCTCCGCTTAGGCATCGTAGTGTTGCACTGTTGGGCGGTTGTCATGAGGGGCAGAGGGTCTTAGACCTTCAGATTCAACGATAATGGCAAGCATGCTTGCTAGTTGATTATGCCGCCACAGGGGAGGACGAAGGAGAAATAAAACAGTATAGACTGCCAGAGTGTCCCAAATTGGATTTTGGCGGTGCACCTTCCTTTCTCGTCAATCTTTGTCGTGTGTGCAACAAGGGCCTTAACTGTTCGGAGGCTTTCGTGGCGACCGACTTTTGTCGTGGCTTGGCTGCTTGCTTGTGCAGCATGGTCTTGACTTGCGTGTTTGTAGGATCGAAGTAGGTCTAGAGCAGGGTGATTAGACAACTTGACCAATAAAAACCTAGCCTTTTCCTAATTTTAGTTCTTGACAAATTTTAGCAGATCTACTAACACCCTACAGATGCAAGTCTAATAGAGTAGGAGCAAAAAGTAAATACTTTGCACATGAAAGTGGAGGAAGGATTTGGAGATAATCAAATGCATTGAAGATACAGTGATTTTTGTCATGGTTTCTATGGGTGGTGCCATCGTACGTCTATGTTGATGGAAACTTCAACCTACTGAGGGTAACGGCTGCGGGAGTCCACGGAGGGCTCCACCCACGAAGGGTCCACGATGAATCAACCTTGTTTATGCCATCATGGCTTACACCCACGAAGGACTAGCCTCACGTCGGATAGATCCTCACGAAGTGGGCGCTCCATGCCCTTAAAAATTCATTGGTTTACTCCACAATTGTTGAAGGCTCCCAAGTGACACCTAACCAATCTAGGAGACACCACTCTTCAAAAAGTAATAGATGTTGTTGTTGATGATGAACTCATTGCTCTTGTGCTTCGAAAGATAGTCTCCTCGACACTCAAACACTCTCTCACATATTTGACTATGTGGTAGGAGAGGAATTTGAGTGGAAAGCAACATGGGGAGGGTAGAGATCAAAATCCTATGGTTGGAGTGGAAAGCCTTTGATCTCAACACAAGAATATGCAGTTCTCTCTCAGAACACGGATATGGGAAATGTAAGCTTCGAAATAGTTGCTCTCTAAGAGTTGGTGGATGGGTGGGGTATATATAGACATCACCAAAAATCCAACCATTACACACCTTTATGAACACTTCAGTGGGACCGGGTGAAACCACTCAGTGAGATCGACATGTATAAAAGGTTTGAACTTTAGGCTTTCGGTGAGACCGAACGAAACCTCTCGGTGAGACCGAGTCAAGCTGACCTAAGCACTTGACAAATGCTCTTCGGTGGGATCAAAGGCAACTCTGTGAGCCCGAGATGCTAGGGTTTAGGCAGTGGCTATGTCAAGTGTATGTCGGTGAGTCCGTGGTACGTCTCCAACACTGTTGGCAGGACTTGCTACCTCCAACACTATCATGAGGCATACCTTGATGCCCAGGTCAGGTGATGAGAGCAGTGGTGGAGCTTAGTGGAGATCAAGCTGGGCCGTCGCCCCCCCTGCCCAGGAGATTTGTTCATATTATCATGAGTAATTGCCCATAGATTCATAGAAATCTGGCCTAAATCTGATGTTGGTTGCCCCCCCTCCCCCCAGCCCATTTGCCCCTCCTAAGATGTGTCCCGAGCTCCGCCACTGGATGAGAGGATGATTCATGGTCACTCCATCGATATGTTGCATCATATTGATCAACATGAGAAGTAAAAAGTCATGGATCTCATTGTAGAAAGTATTTAGAGGACAACTACTGATCAGAAGAGGTCTTGTGGATTTGCCCATCATATTCAGGTTCTTATCAACTCCATGGGTGCAAACAAGAACTTTCTGTTAGATCGTGAGCATTTGCCACTTCGGCCAGAGCTTGAGGACAACACCATCACTATAGATCCTTCACATCCTACTTCAGCCGCAACTCATGCTAGTGTGGAGGCTACAAGGGCTTCAGCACCCAGTGCCTCCTCAGCTCCATTGCTCAAAACCAAGACTGACCAGATGCAATATCTCATTCGAGCTATTCAGAGGATCGAGCAGAGCTTGGCCAACCTCGCAGATAACTAGAAGAGTCTTGAGAGAATTGTGGACGCTAAATTTTATGATCTGGATGTCAAGGTGACAGAAGTTCAATCCACGGTTGAGAGTCTCAAGAAGGAAGTGGATGAAGCCAAGGAACGAGCTTCCAGTGACGATGAGGACAACCCTGGTGATGGCATTCATACAACTGCTCAATTTAGGACTATGCCTAGATCGACTGCAGTTCCAGCACCTTTCATAGCCATAGTCTTTGCTCCAGCAACTACACCCTCGATTGCCCCCTTAGTGGACCTTGCCATCTCCACTCCTCCAACTCAGCAGACATCGTCCAAGGCATTTGCACATGTACTCATCTCCACTCCGACATCGACGCACACCGGTGCTCCAGGAGCTTCAGGAGATCAAGCCTAGTGATACGTCTCCAATGTATCTATAATTTTTTATCGTTCCATGCTATTATATTATCTGTTTTGGATGTTTATATGCATTAATATGCTATTTTATATTATTTTTGGGACTAACTTATTAACCCAGAGCCCAATGCCAGTTTTTGTTTTTCCTTGCTTTTGAGTTTTATAGAAAAGGAATATCAAACGGAGTCCAAACGGAATAAAACTTTACGATGATTTTTCTTGGACCAGTAGACACACGTAGGACTTGGAGAGGAAGTCAGAAGAGTCTCGAGGGCTCCACAAGCCCTTAGGGCGCGCCCCTGGCCTGTGGGCCCCACGGGAGTCCTCCAACCCTAATCTTTGGCCTATAAATTCAGAAATATTCCCAAACGACTAGAAGCGTCCACCAACCGCCGTCGTAACCTTATGTACCCATGAGATCCCATATAGGGACCTTTTCCGGCACCCTGCCGGCAGGGGATTCGATCACAGAGGGCTTCTACATCAACTCTATTGCCCTTGCAATGAAGCGTGAGTAGTTTACCACAGACCTACGGGTCCATAGCTAGTAGCTAGATGGCTTCTTCTCTCTCTTTGATCCTCAATACCATGTTCTCCTCAATGTTCTTGGAGATCTATCTGATGTAATCTTCTTTTGCGGTGTGTTTGTCGAGATCC